TCTCTGTCTTTGAAATCTTAATCCGCGCTAAGAAGTCTATTTTTGTTTTTCGCTTCTCATTAATTCAGAGTTAAATCATATGGTTTCTGGGGTATACTTCCTCCAAGTCTTCATTGGCCTGTTCCAGGTTGTAACAAGCTAAACCTCCATCATACGCAAGGATCTCATCTAAAATGTTCTACAAAAACTGCAAAGCTAACAAGGGAAAGGTTTCCATCTTGATCAGAAGCGAAACCTTCAAATCTGAATATTAGTGAAAGTCTCCCTTGAAGGTTCTCACAGGAAACAATTCCATCGAATTGGCAACTTAATAAATTATATAAAAAGATACGTGATTCCACTTGGTGTAATGACTGGGTCTTTCATGAGTTCAAAACTGATTTGTCCACACAAGAAGTCTGGCACCTCTCTTTTCTGGAAGAAACCAAGCAAAAAATTTTGGAGGCATACAAATTAAACGATGATAAACAAACAACAGAACCAAAATTTAAAACCTAACACAACGCGTTGATTAACTTAAAAAACTGCAATTGAAAAGGTTGTGGCAAACCTTGATTTATTGTCTCTCACACCAAACATTCAAATTCCAATAACTGGAAAACCCAAAGGTTGACAAGAGCTTAAAATTAGCCCATCCTGTCAGAGCTTAATCTGATTCCATAACAAGAAGTGATTAATAATGGTAATTGAACTGAGTGGAGTGCAATTTGGGCTGAAATCACAAATATGATTCCAGACCAAAATTGCACGACACGAGGTTCAATTACCACTTTATTACATCCATTTTGAAATCGCCCAAATACAGGACTTGTTCAATTCAATATTTCACTGATGCAGTACTGAGCCGGTTTTTAAGTGAAACCGGAAACGCTTTTACATCTTATTTTACATGCAAACAGAAAGACTGATGTCATGTGTCAAAAACTCAATCAAGCGTAAAATGATGCCAATTAGAGCAAAAAATGGTGGGAATTGTGACTAAATCACACCAATTAGAGCCAATCAGATTACAGGGACCACTAGTGATTTCAAAATGGATGTAATAAAGGGTATTACCACTCCCCCCTGGATGGGGATGGGATAATGGGTCCATCACAAGGTTACCCCTCCCCCCCAGCAATGTGTAAGGCTTCAATGACAGCACCCTAATTCCCAAGAACACATCAAAATGACCAGACAGGGTTTTGAACCTGAACCTATTAATTCAGATTCCAGTGCACTAATTATGAGACTACAATGTTTCCCAGTTTCACTTAATATCACTGATATGAAGCACTGATTTTGTTATCAAAATATAAATATTTCATCAAGCTTTATGGGTCTGACAGGAGAATAAGCTTCAGTGCTTTACATTCTGATATCTGCAGTGACTACCTCTGATAGGAAAATCCAGGACTTCAAATTTCATCCTTAGTATAGGAGCTGTAATGAGTATCTTACACTGTTCCTTAAGGTATAAATAATATATTAGCAAACTATGGTGACAAGATGTTCTCTCACCTTTCTTCTGGTATCAACTTCTTTAAAAAGGCTATTTACTTCTGATAGTCTCTTATCCTAGAAGAAAGATGCAACAAAAATTAAGCAACAACCTAGCAACTTTGGGATGCATCAATGATAAGGGGAACATATAACAGTTAAATAATAAATAAATAAAAATAAATACATTTATTGAGGCTCCCCCATATGGGGCTTTTCAGCCACAATGTAGACTAACTAACTAAGGGCTTAAAAATCCCCACTGGCAGGAGGCAGACCAGTGGGCTATTTACACAGACCAGCCCAGGAGTTCAACTAGGGGCAACCGAGAACAAATCCAGAGAGTGGCACGGTGGAAGACTTAAACCCGGGACCCCAGATAAAAAGTCCAGCACCCAACCACTTGGCCACGCCACCTCCATACGTTGCATTTGTCGATGCAAGAAAAAAAAAACACAAGCAATACTTACACATTCCAATTCAATTTTATCCAGTTCTTCTTCATCAGGATCTTTTCCTGCAGCTTTCATTTGCCTGAGAGTGGTCAATTTACCTTGTTAACCCTTAGCATCCTAACATGAGTATGTATATTCTCCCTACTGTCTTCCATGCACTTCCTAAGGTGCTGACAAGGAGAATTTGTTGAACAATCAAGAGCTTCTTTAGTTGGTGATCATTTCCTTTATTCTCGTGACCTTCAGCATGATTCAGGGGTGACATTGTGAAGAGAAATTAGCTGCTAGTCACTCTTGAGCCAATGACACACCTGGCAATTTTATTCACTGATTGCCGTGATTTTGATCCTTGCGATTGGCGTATAAAATCGCCAATATCTGGCATGTCAGATATTGGTGGTTTTATACAAAGATTATGTCAATTGACAAAAATCACTATTGGCACGGTGGGCACATCTGGCAATTTTTTTCATTGATTGCTGTAATTTTGATCCTTGTGATTGGTGTATAAAATTGCCAATATCTGGCATGTTAGATATTGGTGATTTTATACAAAGATTATGTCAATCGACAAAAATTGCTATTGCCATGGCAGGCACAGCTGGCAATTTTTTTCACTGATTGCAGCAATTAGTGTATAAAATCGCCACATGTGTCCCTGGCTTAGGGGTTCAAAAAGTTAGTAACTAGCTCAAAAGCTAACACAGGTGAGCAACAAACAAAAAAGGTATTGTATTAACAAAAAGAAGCTGACCTCTTCTTATCATCAAGGATGAGATTATTCAAATATGACTGCAGCTCTATTTCCTGACTAATTCGTCTTTCTTCTGCAACACTAAATCTCTGAAAAGTTGATAATGAAGACGAGACAAAATTAGAACTGATAACTAGCACACTGAAATTGTGAACATAATAGCTTGTTCTTTGTAGCACCAACAAGAGATATATGTTCACAAGGGTGTAGCCAGGGGGGTAAGCCTTCTTTTGAGCAAACAACCTACAATATTCAGGTGGTGAAAACGCCATGACAATATCTTGGCCTGCCCACTATACTCTTACTGCTCATCCCAAAACTGTAACATAAAGTAAAACATGCACGGCGTGGAGGTCGACATAACAATCTGGTGAGTAGCCTCTGTGACCGCCCCCCCCTCTTTGAAAAATCCTGGCTACGCCCCTGGTTCATCTTACCATGTCTAATTTCTTGTCATCTGCCCTCAGTTATTCATTTTGATTTTTTCAAATTTGTTAATCCCTAGTAGTTAACATTTACCACTTACAAACAAGTAGCTATCATCATCAGACAATCTTTTAACTCATACTCAATGAATGTAGTCGATTCTTCATACCTTCTTTTTAGCTAGACGGACTGTACTTGCAATATCATCTCCAAAGTTAAGTTTCTGTTCTTTGGCTAAATCATATGCTGTTTAGAAAACAAGTGAAACAATGATAGTGAACAACTTTATGCCTGTGAGAACTTTCTAGTTGATTATATGTCCCCTGGACAATAATTAGGCTCACTGCCATTAAGTGGGCATACAGAAGGTCCCTAAGCACTATAGGAACCACACTATGACTGGAGCATAAATTGGAGGCTTTTACTGGAACCGTTAAAGCCCATTTCTCATTTACAACCAGACAGATACCTGCATGTTATCATAGTATAGGGAATCCACATAATCTTTTTGTGCTACTGTTTGCTGTAAATTCTATAGTGAATGAAAGGAAGTTGCTGCAAGCTTTGCGGTTCCTGATGTATTCCAAATTATTCCACTTTTCCATTATTTCACAGATTATTCCACTCTACCTCAAGTTTGAGTATAATCTACCAGCCCAATAAAAAAAAAAACTATAAAATTACCATTGAACCCTTCACACCCTAACATCAGCTTGCAAATTCTCCATACTGTTCTCTGTACATTTCCTGTGGTTCTTACAGGGGGGAATTTGTCTAAAAATCAAGAGCTTCTTGAGTAGGTGATCATTTCCCTAACTCCCCTGACTTAAACGCATACCTGCCAACTCCCAGAGTACAAAAATCTGGAGACGTCTAGAATTATTTGCAAATTGTAAGAATGTCATTTTCAACAATATCTGAATACTCCCCAAAAATCATCCAAAGGCCTTCTGAATGTTCCTAACATCTCTCAGTTAGAATCGCATCATTGAATAAAATCTCGCATTCTGATTGGTTAACGATGTGAGGTATTTAGTGTGGAATTACGAGTTGAAAACGAGGCTAAGTGATATTGTTTTACATCTACCTAAACATAACAATTTTAAAAGTAAATGCTGTTTCCTTTTTTTTCTCATTTTTATTCAGTGATTCCAGGAAAATCCATTACTTCACTCGTGAACTCCGCATTAAATTGCAGTTGAAAACTGATATCGCACAAATTGCAAAGCGATTCATGCGATATCGGTTTTCATGTGCAATTTAATGTGGAATTCCCTCATCAAGTAATGAATTTTCCTATAGAACAGCATTTACCTACCATTTGGTTGGTTGATTTCTGACCAATTACGATATTGGTAAAATGAATATTAATCTGATTGCTCTGTTTTACTTTTTCCGATTGAGAACAGCTCAAATAAGAGCACTAAATCCTTTTTGACATCTTGAAAACAACTAAATTATTGAAAAAAAAAATTGAAAAAAGCCACGGTAGGTATTTCCCGGGAGACTTGGTGTTCTAACTGGGAGACTGGAAGATTTGATGAAAAACTTGGAGACTCCCACGAAAACCAGGAGAGTTGACAGGTATGTTAATGTTTGATTCAGGGCTCATTCTATTAGAAGAAATTACATGCTAAACACTCTTAAAGAGTTAATATAATACTTCTTTTACCTCTTTTTAAACTTGCAAGTGCTTCATCATAATTCTCTTGTTCAAGGAGTGCCTGCCCAAGAAAGAAATGCGCCTTGACCAGGTTCACATCAAGTTCTATGGCACGTCGACAATCACTTATAACCTGAGACCACTTCTTCAGTTTGAGATGACACAGAGCCCGATTGGTGAAGTATGTTGGAACTGTTGGATTTTTGATCTGAAAAAAGAGAATTTGAAAAACTACAAATTAATGGAAATTTCCTGATGGAGCTGACACATCAAAAACAAATAACAACTACTCATAAATTGTATTAAAAAACATCAATTACTGCAGTTTGATCACATATTTGGACATCTACTGTGGTTATCAAAGAAAAATGAAATGATGATAACACTTTATTTTCTCTACAGAGTTAATTGGTGTATGACTGAAGCAAACTATTTTTCAACTGTGTAATATCTGAAAATGAAACTGACTACACTTCTGCTTGAAATAAATTGTGCCTTAATTGTTTGAGGAGCAACTCAGTAGTAAAACAGACCTTTTCAGAGCTACACTATCAGACAGTCACATCACATAAACATTTGTTAAAGTTGAAAAACTTTTAGCAGGGGAACAGAAGGCCACAACGCATCGTTCACATGGAAAATTTTGGGTGGTTACTGAAGTAAATTAGATTTGCTTTAGACATAGTATGCTTTAGACTACAAAATCTATTCTTCCTTCTGATCCAAAACATAAAAATAACAATGAATAAAGGCTGATAGTTTCGAAAGAAACTGTTTGTATAAAAATAACAAAGAAATTGCGTCCCAGATTAAGTCACTGGCGAAAACAATCCAGACGAAGGAAAACTGCCATTTATTTTCCTAGTAACAAACCTGAGCTTTCCATAGACATGATACAGTTCAAAATCATGATCAAGTGTGATCATCAAACTGGCGAGTAATTCGCTCGACAATCGATTTCATAGACTGCAATCACTACTATCCGGATTGCCAACGCCAATTTTAAAACGTAAAGGATAAATCTAAGTCAAAACTTCGACGACAACAAACCACAAATTCTTAGATGTAAGGCGATTTATCTAAATGTGAGTGAACGTGATTTCAACCTACAATAGCCTTTGTATAACATTGCGCTGCATCGTCGTAATGCCTGCCGCTAAAAAGACGATTTCCTTGTTCTTTAAGGTCTATGGCCGTCATTCCAGTACACCTCTCGCGTTTATAACATCTCTTGTGATTAATATTTGTGTTAAAATTTTTAAAACAAACCAACCAAACTTCGTCTTGGCATTCCGACTGTTGTGATGTATCGCGCGACCGCAAAGGAGGCTCAGTGTGTTTTACTAGGGTAGGGACGAAACTTTTGTCGCGATAGTGCGGGTGTAAATACTCGTTCGTGACCTAACTTGACAGATGAAATTATCGATCTCTTTCGAATCTTGTACCGTTATAATTCCTTCTCTTTGTAAAGTCTTTGATTCTTTGCAATTTTAGAAAATTTCTAGCCGACTCAATAGTTTTTAAGAGAATATGTACGGATGCAGCGCACAAAATTAGCGAAGAAAATATGAGGGTGGAATGATGTTTAAAGGCTCAGTTCCGGTAACCAGGTTGCCAACTGAACAGCGTTAGTTGAAGTTTCTTTCAGCCAGGTTTTATGATCGATATTTAGCACTTGGATAAAAGATTTCTTCTTTTTAAAGACACTCTATCTGAAATATGGGTTGCCTAAGCTGTTCGAGGTAAGCTGATTTTAATAATTAACTTAATTGGCTTTATATGATTCACGAGGTCTCTATTCTCCATCCGAGTAGTTCATACTCTAAAGATATTCTTCCTTCTGTAATGGATCAACCTAAGCTTATTATTTATGTATCTAAAAACAATTTGTGTTAGTTTTGATTGCATTTTTAAGTAGTAGTAATAGTACTAGAGTAACAGTACTACTTTACTTGATCAATATTGTTGGAAACATTACTGGCTTCATCAGTCAAATTATTGAGACACACGACTCAGTTTTCACTTTGGTCAAGGAGGTTGTGGACCAGACCTTGAAGTTAGACGCGGAGGGGAGAGTCTGTGGTTCGTAGGGCAACCCATAAACTCTTTTGAAAAACAAATATAATCTCTGTTTTGATATACTATGAAATGAGAGGGCTGACTTTTCAAAAGGCATATTATCCGTTCTTATGCCCTTAACCATGTTCCGAAGAAAGGAGGATGTGAATATAATCAGCTTGATCAGAAATAGGAGGAGAGTTGGCCTTTTATATGAGTCTAAACAGATCCCTCATAACAGGTTTAAAATTTGAACAAGGCTGCAAAATATTATGTGAAAGTAAAGTTTCCTTGTGCCTGAGGGGGATGCCCTAATGCCAGGAAATGGGGTCAGGCAGCGTCATATACTTACTCAGTTCAAATTCAAAGTAAAACAGACTTAACTCTTAAACTCCCAAGATCTGATTGTTAACTCTCTGCTCTAGCTGCTACACATTTCCTTGTAAATTATTTACCAGAATTTGGTGTAAAAAGATTAAGATCATTAACATCTTCCACCTTATAAGTTTGCAGTATTCCTGCTACCTGTTTACTGGATAGTGTATGGATTTCATAGGGAGAAGTTACATGTTAATCACTTCTGGAAGTTAAAGGGTGTAATGGTGTATAAATTTACCTGCTAAGTAGTCGTCACCCTAAAAAAAAATGCTTGTTGAGGAGAAAATCAAATCAATGTTGTAGACAGCACCTAATCACCAACTTCGATTTATATGATAGACTCATTTGTCACTTCACAGAAATTTATATACTGGACTGTGTTTAAATCTTGTTCCTCAGACTTATGAATCTGCCTGCTGGAAAAAATGAGGCGTATAAACCCACTGTGATAGAACAAACAGCGAATATCATCACGCACGGAGTAAGCACGAAAATAAAAATAAATAATACCTCTTGAGTAGTAGTTTATGACCAATTAGAACAGGAAATTTTTTTAGTTTTTCTGTTTTGTGTTTTAGGTGTGTGTATTGCCAGCTGTTTATGCAGCATTGCGCTTGCACCAAAATTCTAGACTGCTATCAGCAAGCCACCGTTTCATCGCTGAAGTGTATGGAACGGCTTTTATCCTTGTCTTCCTTATATCAACTTTATTTCATGTTGTCAGCCTGACTGGAAAGGCCTGGTGAGATAAAAGGAGTTAACTTGTAACTGTTATAATTGTGAAAATGATTGGTGAAAATCTTAACGTTACATTTGGCAGATGGACATTGTCTCTATAACCATGGGCTCGTAGAGAAATTATCAGAAAAATGATTCAGCTCTTTTTCTTTTATATGTGATTATTTTCCTTTATGCAGTCCATACAGTTCCAAAAAAAAAAAAAATAGAGAATTAGCCAAATTAGGTTTAGTTGAAATCACTCATATTTTATTTTCCTGATTGTCTTGTAGAAGTAATTATAAAAATAAATAATAAAGTATTATCGTTTGTCTAAAAAATGATAATACTTTATTATTATTGTACTTTACCACAATGAATAAGCACAACCTTAAACCATAAAAATTGGTAAACATACTTTCAATCAAAGGATTCATTAAAAAAAATCTGTAAGTATCTTTTGATGGAAAACTGAATTTGACCTTTCAAATTGTCTTGTATTTTCTTGTGAAACAAAGGAAGAAGTTAATGTCACATCTACAATCATTCTGGATATAATTCCTTTATTCCTTCAACAATTTACTGGAAAATATTGATATTGTAATCTAGTCATACATGTAGCACTATAATGATCTTCTTCTTTTTTTTTTCAGTTCCCTAAGATTCTTCCTGCATTTGAGTGACCGTGGCATTATTTATTTCTTCATTGCAGCTTCATACATGCCATGGTGAGTGGATAATAATTTTGCTTGGAGAAAATCCTGTTATTGATTTCCATTATATCTTACTACACCAACTTGCATTCATTTCATTTTTTTGTCTTGTACTGTATGACTCCAAAAAACATCCCTAACCACCAATCGGTAAGCACTAAAATTTCAAGGGAGGAGGGTTTCAAGAATTTAATTTGTGAAAGGAATATGTGAAGGAAAAAAGGATTTTTTTACTCAGGGGTGGAAGAGGGGCTGACATAAAACTCCTCTATAATAGATTTGGGGGGGGGGGGATGGTGGATGATTCTGCCCCATACAAAGGAGTAATTAGACCTTGAACTCTCATAGTGATTACGACAGAATTTCTCCTGACAATATCAATACAATATCCAGCAGACAAGTGATGAGAATGTAGAGAAACATTAATTAGGGGTATTTTTGGTTGATCTGATACCAAATTGTGTTTTTGGTGGGGATAATATTCGCTTGTACAAGATTATTTGTCCAAAATGCAGAAGAGTGAATAGAGGAAACGCATGTTCTTGTTAAGATGCTTTTAATTAATCACATATATGTTTTGTTTTTAGGTTTATGGGGCTTTGGTTAAGGTGTTTGAACCTTGTAGGGGATGCTATATCCTTTTGTTCTAACACCTGTATATATTCTATATGTACAAATCTTGAAATAATTAATAAATAAATAAATTCTCCAAATGAACATCATAAGAATTGTATGGCAGAAGGTAAGGAGAATTACAAATGAGATCTTAAAGAAGTGAGTAGCTTTGTTGTGTAATGTGATACAGGATACAAGGTCAGCTACCTTGTAAACATTTTATTTATTTTATTTTTTTTTTCAGGCTAGTGTTAAGAGATGTTGGTCAGTATGGAGATCTAATATCCTGGCTTTTATGGTGTCTTGCTGTGACTGGCACTGTTTACACTTACATGTTCCATGAAAGGTAACTGTCAGATCAGTGTTTTCTTATGCCTATGATTTATTTTGAAATAATTTGAAGGAAGCAAGCTCTTAGCAAACCTGTTTTGGCAAAGTTCTAAAATATCACACTGCTCATCATACTCTTTTTATTTAGCTCTCTTTGTTTTTAGTGTTTCGCCATTTTTAATGTATGGCCATGTTTTTTTTTTCCCCATAGATACAAGACAGTGGAAACAGTTCTGTACCTGATCATTGGAATATGCCCATCTCTTCCACTAGCTTTTGCCTCAGTGAGTATGTTTGTTTTTTTTTTCCTTCCGAGTCATCCCGTTCCAGCCCTAGTCCCTCATCAGGATGCAGATTTACGAATTTCTGTTTGTGTGTCAGATGCTTAAACCACCAAGCTACCCCTAGCGACCCAAAAGATTCCAAACGTTGTCTCGTTCTTGTGAATTTCCCCAAAGTCGTTAGAGGTCAATCCCTGTCGGTGACGTAACCGAAATTTGATTAGTACAGCTAAATGCAGAGGTGGAGGAAATAGGAAACACAATGCTTAAGTTAATTTACATGCGTTTTGCAATATTTTGTCACTGTGTCCTCTCTCGATTATGCCCATCAGTCGTATAGATGGCTGTAAAGAAGATAAATGAATAAAGGGGGTAAGTTTCTAAAGAAACTGTGCTGCTCTGTCGGTGGGGGTAACAAGGTAATTTGGGTAGAGAAGATAACTTCATTCGTCAGGACGCGTGTTGCATGCTGTTAGAATCCGCCCTCCGCAGGCCTAATTTAGCCAATTTGCGGTGTCGCCACACTTTTTTGCACGCTTTTGATACAAACTTATCATGGAAAGAGGAATTGTCAATCAATTCACGAACGTAATTGCTTTCAGTTGGTTTACTTCACTTGGCTCTTTGATTGGTCCAGAGCATTTGCGCCATCCTCTTAGCCGGTCGTAACAAAACTGAAACCAACTGCGACTTGGTCACGTGCAAATTTCCATGGAGCATTAATTGGCTCCCCCAACATGATTTTTGCGTTTTATGTCATGTTTGGCCGTCATGATCATCCTGGTTTTGATACACTCAATCAAATGCGCTCCAGACACTGTAATCACTTTGCTTCAGACTTTTGAACCTCTATCTGAGACTTCTCTCTGTACGTAAGCCTTTTTTTCCAATCACTGTTTTTCTCTTTTCACAGACGGATACAGCTGGTCTGGCCGAGGTAGGATTGGGAGGAGCCTTTTACGTCAGTGGCGTGGTGTTTTTCAAGTGCGATGGACGAATACCCTTTGCGCATGCGATCTGGCATTGTTTTTGTGCTACCGGGGCATGGTGTCATTTTTATGCTGTCTACACACACCTGTACTTGGAAAAACACTAGATACGTCTATCCGCTCTTAGATCGATTTAAGGTCGGTCTTGATCGTGCAATCTCGTTTTCAGGGTCCCCGGATGGTCTCGATACGTAAAAATTTAAAATCATCAACGAACGTGGTTAACAAAACAACAACAACAGCAACAACAAGTTTATTTGTTAAGGCAGGTTACTAAAATAGGCAAGACCATAAGTCCTGATGTGGACCTGCACACTAAATTAACATTATAATCACAATTGCACAGTTTAAAATTTAAAAATATAAAAATACAAGGATGCAAGGTGTGTAAATATTAAAGCTATTACTATAAACCTATCTGAAAATACAAATATAAAGTTGTTATCACGAAAGCTATGATGTATGCTTAAAAATAGAAAAAATCATCATCTTTATTATTAATCAAAGATGACTCTTTGGTATATGTTATTTTCATCAAAATGTCCTTATTTTTATTCAATTCTTTCAGAAAACTAGCTTCCTTAATGCGATCTGGAAGAGAATTCCAAGCTATAGCTGCCCTATGCTTAAAAGATAGTCTTCCCATTTCCGTTTTTGGTTTAGTGATATTTATATTCAAAATCTTTCTTAGATTGTATCTGTGTTCCTGCTTCGAAACTAAGTTATTAAGTTAGTCATTAGAGAGACCATAATATGATTTATAAGTTACGGATAGTACTCTTTTCGTGTAAAAATATGAAATAGGGGACCATCCCCTCAGCTTACGCGTGTCGTCCATATTGATGTCCCTGGGGAGATTATGGATTAACCTTGCAGATCGCATATGGACACGCTCCATTTTTTCCATCAAGATCAGTGAGCATGAGCTCCATACAGGGCTCATGAGTTATCAGTGAGTTATCAGTGGCAAAGAAAGAGTTATCAGTGGCAAAGAGAGAGTTATCAGTGGCAAAGAGAGAGTTATTAGTGGCAAAGAGAGAGTCATCAGTGGCAAAGAGACATTCTACTAGACACCGACAAATTCTGTCATTATTTTTCGGTGTCGTGCTCGGCTCTTGGCCAATGAAGCGAATTAAAAAATGGATCAAATTATGATGTCAAATACTTAACGCTGGTTTCGTTGCTCGCGTTTTTGCCAGACATGCTTTATTGATTCGTAAATTACTAGCTAATTTAACTATAAGCGCATTGTGGACAACATATTTTGGACTGAATTTCTTAGAATGTTCGCGAAGAATAGAAGTATTTCTTATTTTTGGGTGGAGCGGTAAGGAAAAGAGACGACGGTGTAGTTCTCATAAAACACCGACAAAGTTGTCTAGCTATTTATGCTGAGAAATTAAGCACAGTAACAACAAATCTTGCGAAAGAAACAAAATTTTAAAGTGTGCAAAAAAAAGTTTTGTGACTTTTCATGTCATCGTTGTCCAATCTGTGAATTTGGTCATTGTACAATTTATAATATCTATGGAATTACGACCAAAGATTATTTATGGAAACAGATTCGGAAACATGGAAAAGCACTAGTTGGATTATAAAGTAAAGCAGGAAAAAAACAAAACTGCTCAAGAAAAATGACTGTGAAACAAATATGTAATACAACAAACTAGAATTGAAGAATAAAACTTAAAAAATCAATTTAAACTATGCAAGTCAGATTCTCCTTTTCATATACATGCCCTCTTTTCGTTATTTGAAAAATTGAGGGCGTAGAATCTGCAATTACTTTTTTATTGGATTCCTATTTATTCCCGCTGGAGCTTCAAAGTAGTTCAAGATCTTTGGGTAAGGTATGAAAATCAATATTTTAACTGCAATTAACTTCCACTGGCTGGCATTACATNGGAGCCACAGTCTGGTCGATAGATTTGCTTGAAATCTTAATCAAGTTTTGTAAAATAGTTATGATTTGTTACGCACGCTCTCATCAGTCGAACTGAATAAAGGTGTTTGTGTCAAATCGTTAGGTGTGTATAGATGAGAGCGTAGAAGTATGATTGTGACGTTTCAATTTTCCGCATATTTTTCAAGAAATCTTTCATCAAAGCATCAGAGGCCCATTAACGTGTCAACATAGCCTAGGGGGGTTTGGAGAATTCTCGAAGGCTATGCAAACCTGAAACAGCGCAACCGGAATTTAGGGCGAAGCCAGGAAAACACGCCAGAAGTCTCCAGTAAAGCTATTGCCTAATTGTCACGCGAAATTGATTCTTCCCTGATCATATATGATAGTATCGTGTACTATGTGAAAGACAAATACTGTACTTAGCAGAATGTATTTGACTAGTATGGCCTAACCGCAACGAGACATAATTTAAATTAAGATGTCAAAAACTGACAAAAATTAGAAACAAACCCAAGGAAGATTAGTGGAAATATATTTGTTTGTATATTTGTATATTCGGATAGCCAGCAATAGTGTCAAGGAATCCACTATATATAAAGGACACGTTCATTATTAATACTTCCTAAATCCACTGTTTTATTATTTTTTCATTTGTGTTTGGACGGTCACCAAACTGGATTTCGATTAGTAAATCGTATGAACCGTTATTCGACAGCTTGGAGCCACAAGGGTAGGGGTCTCAGACGCATGAAACTCTCAGTTGGTCAACTCGGGAATTAGATGAATTCTACGACCCAGAAATTGAGCCAATAGCTTGCGGAACAGTAGTTCTTTTTGTAGAGGAAAGGAGGCGCACATCCGATGAAAAAGCAAAAACTTGATTCTTTTACTGTAGGCTATTTAGCCACCCACTGGCAAGACAGTAGCGCAAGTATTTTACCTTACATTCGTGCTCTCATTATTATTATTTTCTAGCGCTGCAGCTAGGCCTTTCGTTCCTCAGCCTGCGGGAAAATTTGAGACGAGTCGAGGAGAGGTTTGCAGGGGGTCTGGCACTAGCTCATTGTCAATGTGAGACCACACCACTTGTTGACCTTTCTCTGGCTCGCGTCGCTCAAGGCCTGATACTTTCCCGCAGGCGAAGACATGCCTATGCCGAAGCACTCATAAGAGGGCTATGCTCGTAGCCTACAGGTGCTTGGACCTTCAGAGGAGTTGAAAGACTTTGTTCAGTGCATTGTACACAAGGAACTGTCTTACACCATTGACATCCCACATGGAATCAAGCTCACCTCTTTGAAATCTCAAATAAAACGCAACAGATGTTTTTTCGTCTTAAAATTAAAACTTTTGCTGTGAAAGTATCTATGAGACGCTACGGCACGATTTTGCTCAAGGGAAATGAGGAGAAACAAATATATTACACCTTCCCACAAAAGTATTACAGACATTTTAAGGACCTTTTTTACCCATATCAGGAGCCCATTACTCCCTTATATATTGTGCTGCTGCGAATTGTTGTTGTTAAAGTATACATCAAAAGATTGACCTTACATGAAACGTCATTCGTTATCCTCTATCGAAGTTGAAGGCAATTTGAATGTCACGGTGGGGTCACCCTGCTTGGCCCACATATGCAGCACAAGAAAAAACAGCAACCGAGGCGCGAGGAGAACCCTGGTATTGGGACCTGTTACGTATTTTTAGCAGGGTAGGGAGAGGTTGTTTTTGTCCCGTCCTACGCATGCCTAGTTAGTAGTGTAAAAGAATCAAACCCGGGGCGTCGTTTGTAGAGGTATTACAATTTCTTTAACTCTCTCCGAATCCCCACAAAGGGCTTTTTAGTTGGAATTTTACAACCTTACCTTCTTCACCATTCGATCTGTGGAAGAAGGTAGCCGAAAAAAGGCGTGGGCGTCTGATTTCGACCAAGAATGAAACAGAAATAACAGCGATCTACGCTCTGCTATGGCTGATCGTGCTTGCAGAAACTTTCAGCCAAATGTATTCAACAAGAGTAAGTGTCAAAACTGTTTCAAGCTACAGGAAGCACACAATTCTTCAGCTTTCAGCCAAGATCCCTCCTTTTCAAGTATCACAAGGAGAAATTCAACTCAAAAGGTAGCAATGTTTGATTGTTTGACTCAGTTCGGATAGCAACCGTCTATTGCCTATGTTATGGTCGCTTTCTTGAGGGTTCTGCTTTAACTTGCGCTAGCAACGATTTCGTTGTTAAGTCGTAGTTCACGATTTTAATCATGAATATTCTTTACATTGATGTTAGGTTTATCCAAGGATCAGAACCGTGGTAAAATCTGGCGTCCTCTGTATAACAACTCATGAATCCCTTGACAAGGGAAGAGTTAGTCCTTCGGTAAGTTGCAATATCCTTTGCTCCGTTTGTGAATTTTTGTTAGCTATTTTCGTCAACGTAGGATGCCCTATTTTTGAATGGCTTATTTTATCGTTTTTTCTTATTTTCAGCGATGGAACAAGCGCTGGTTTGTTCTTAATTCTACGGGGACACTCGACTTTTTTTTCTATGATGAACAGAAGGTAGGAAAATTAGTTTTTACATAGCTGAAATTAACGTGGTATTTGTCCAGTGTTAACTACACCGACTAATATATTTAACTCGAGAGAAATCGAGCACATTCCTCGTCAATATAGGTATTTTGCGGCCATTGTCTGCATCTCGGTCCCTTGTATAACGGCGAAAGAACGATGGTAGATTGTTTTCGAACATTGCGGGAATAATTTTGCGAAGGGCTTTGTTTGTAATCACCTATTGAAATCAACAGCGAAAAATATTTTGTTTATAAATTGTTTCCCACATGCAAATTGAATCCGCTCGATCGATATATGTCCATCGCTTAACGTAAATATTTGCTGCCCGTAAAGTATTTTGACACATTAACCTTTAATATTTTAATAAAGATGTTTTCTAATACATCAGTGATCTTTTGAAGGATGAATCTGTAGTAATGCGATCACTTTTGCATAATCACATCTTTACTGATAATCCTGGAAGCTGAAGTATGTCAGATTCTTCTCAGTTTTCAAACTTTGTAACGGGAGAAGCACTTTGTAAACATCCCACAAAGCCTTTTAAGTCCTTTGCACTGCGATCGGTGTTGATTTACCCTAAGCTAAATATCATTTCGGTTGTTCCCTTTCGGGTATCTAGTTAATCAAATTGTTTCATTTGCCCTCTGGGGAGAGAATATCTTTAGTAATATTGCACTGTTTACTTATTTTAAAGACTATTTAGCGTTTTATTTGGGTCTGCACTGAAGAACCATTCTACAAGTTCTTTGCCTTCTTTTTTTTTTATTAATTGTTGTGAGTAATCCATGTCAACGATGTTAACCTTGCGAGATACGATCCCTTGTGATCCCATGTCTTCTTGCTATTTTGTGTGTGTTGCATAATTTGAGCATTCATTTATTTGATCATAAAATAGGCAATATTTTGCAGTGGAGACTTGAGCTTCAGAAGGAATTTGCACCGATTATCTCTTGTTAGTATGAATTGAATGTCGCGTTCACATTTTTTCACACACACTCATTCTCTCCTTGTAATATTACCAGTGCATTCTTTATTATGAGAAAATTTTACCTCCCGGAGAGGAAACCTGGATTTTTTTTTTTTTGCTAGTACCTTTTAACACCAGATTACAAGAGGATAACAGCAGATCACCCTTCAGCACCTTTAATTTCAGACAGTGTAAAGGTTTAAAGATGGAGACAATAATTTTCTTTGCTAATGGTTTTGAGATTTGTGTGATCCTTTGTGTGTGTGTGTGTGTGTTATTCTGTGCTGATAACTAAGCATCTAGTTTGAGAATTTATTTTTATTTCATTCTTATAAATTATTTTTAATTCTAGATGTGTTGTCTTTGTGATAGGAGCAGCCACATTTTTTTCTATTTTTGATTCCAAACATTTTTGTGAGATTCATAAAATACTGAAAGTGTGTGGTCTGAAAGTACACTGTAGTAACTTGGCTTGTTTGCTTCAACCATGTACATGCATCTATTGCAGCTGATTATTGAAATGTTCTCCCAAACCCTAATTAAGCTAATTTTTGCTAGATTGTTTTATAAACTCATTTAGTATAATTTCAGAGCTGAGCAAAGAGTTTCCAGCAATCTGATTGGTCGAGTGGTTCCTTATATGATGCTGTATAAACCGCTCCATGCATAATCCCCATGAATAATCCCCTCGACTTCGTCTCTGGGATTATTCGATGATATTCACCTCACCTTTGGCGAATAATCGTTAATTATGAAAATATATTAAACCCTTAAACTTTCAGATGTGACTAACATGTAATGTTTCCAATATTATCTATACATTATATAGTAAACAGGTAATAAGAATACTCAAACTTATCAGGTAGAAGTTGTAACCTTGATCTACTGCCAAATTCTTGTAACTGATTTACAAGGAAATTTGAAGTAGTCAGAAGGGAGAATTAACAATCAGACCTTGAATTGGGAGTTAGAGGGTTTAGATGTTTTGCCCATATAGCAAGCACTGCCCACATCTATCACGTTTATGTAAGATGCTTTTAAATTGCTTGAATTGTGCTCAGTCTTTATGGACAACTTTAATGCATGAAAATCATTCAATAAATGCTCGCTCACCATACCTTTGTTACACGGAGTAGAATCGAGACAGAAAAAAGGTGTACAGTATTGGTCCAGCTTGATTACTCTGGTCTGACTTTGCACATTTATACCATCCTTGTCTCTGTTATGTGATTGTGTTAACTTTGGAAAAATGTTTTCAAGTCAAAAGTCAAAGAAGGAATAAGTATATTGATATACAACTTATGCTCCTTTGTGGGCATCAATGCTTTACTATTAAAACAATATACCTTGCCATGGTTAAAAAAATTAATGAGTGGGGCTTCCTTTTCTAGCATTTTTATCTTCACATAGATTTTTTTTATAGGGAGGGCAAATGTCAAAGGATTTAATGTTATGTTAATTTTGCAGAAGTCTGCACAGTTGACATATTATTTCCAGATTTATACAGAGTCATTTAGTGTGTTCTTTCTGACATTTTTTATTTTGACAGGGCTCCTCAACAGATCGACTTGATGGAAATATTAATCTGGACTTTTGTAGTGGAATGTTTATTGGTGAAGCAGATACTGGAGAGCCTTTTTCCATTGGATTGAAGTTGGGAAAATCCACCTATTATCTGAAGGCAGAAAATCGCTTAGAGCTAGACAACTGGTCACGAGTACTCAAGCCTTTTGTCCAAGCATCTCAAGCATTTATTCCACGCAGAAGCTCAAGCAGTAGTTCTGTTGAGTCAGATGTGTTTGTGCAAAGTGAGTCAAGTCATTCATTGCAAGTTTAAAAATTGTATTTTACTCATATTCTGGTAAAAAGTTCAGCGGTCAGCATTGCCTCAAGAATTTTTTTTTTGAGGGGGGGGGGAGGCAATCCTTAATTTGTAACTGTCATAGTGCATCTTTCCACTAAAGAAAACTAACCAGGACTCAACACTAACAGTAGCCCACTAGTCACAGACTAGTAGAAATTCAGTTTCGGAAAGTGGTTTTCAATTTCCACTAGCCAGTTTGCTAGTAAACAAACTGAAATTGTCCTCTAAGATGTCACTAGCCACTTGGCTAGTAAGTTGAAAAGTTAGTGTCGAGCCCCGAACATGGAAAATACTTGTTGATCAGCACCTGTATACATGGGTAAAAGTTGGTTGGTTCTGTATTAAAAGTCTTCTATTATCCCATTTTGTCAGGTACATCAACAAGCCTGGGACGTGCTCCAAGCTTTGGTAAATCCTCAGTATCCAAAGTGAGCACAACCCCTCTTAGTAAAAGAAGCCCCACTGGCAATGAAGAACAGCAAACATCGGTGGGTGAAGCCTTACTCTGTCTGTGCTCTAACCTGTGATCAGTTTGGTTTACATAGGGCAGTTTTCAACATAAATTCAAATGCCAAAAGTCCAAAACCAAAGGAAACACAGTGGCCAATCGTAAAAAAGGGTAACATCATCATTAGCTTATGATCGCTCAATGTAAAACAGGCAACCCATCAAAAAGGCGGGAATAGGCGGTCAACCAAGGCGCAATTGGTTTTTGTTTTGTGTCTGATTGGCTTGGAGGATGAAGCGAGTTTTGTAGACCAATTTAATGATTAATTAATTAAAATTAAAGCTAAACCAGAACCATCTCAGATCATTTGCGACAAGAAGAAATTTCTAGGACAAATGAAAGAAATTATGGCAACGAAATCTACTATGAAACTCGTCAATTTGGCAACCTGTTTTGGCTGGTTGTACAACAAGCTGGAAGGTTTTGATTTCTGAGTGTCTTTGGTCTTAAATTAAAGTGGGATAAACGTTTGCATGTAGAAGCATGTAGTATTGTACCTTTTCGCTGCATTTGTAGGAAACCAAATTAATGCGTTTATTCTTCTGCTAGTGACCAAACCCATTCTATTGGTTTCTTTTTTTTTTTTGGTTAATCTTTTCTTTTTATTCAATTGCAGCTAGAGAAACTGAAAGATGAAAACAAACGCTTGAGGGAACAGAGCGTGTTATCTGTTAGGCAGAAGGATTCAACGCACATTTTAGAGTTGGAACTAAAGACAAAAGTGAGCAGAATAAAAGAATTGGAGAAGGAGCACTCACAGTGCCGCGACTATCAAAAGGCACTGCTGTTTCAGGAGAAAGAACTGCTCGAGGCCAGAACTAAAATGAATGATTTGAAACAACAGATGGAAGAGAAAGAGAAACTTCTTCAGCAGCATAAAGGCAAGCTGTCGATTCATGCTAAAGAACTCGCCGAGGCCAAAGCGGACTTGCAGGAAGCTAATAGTGTTATTGGCATTCACAGGGCGAATATTGAATCGCTGAAAAATGAACTTACTTCTGTAAAAAATATCTCAGGAAGTGGGAAGGAAAAACTTATTGTAACTGGCGAAGAACCGGAGAGTGATCAAGTGTTTAGTTTGAAAACTGAGGCCAGTGGAAATGAAGGCAAGGATCTTGAATCTAAACTTTCTGCTCTAATGCAGAGACTAAAGCAAAATGAACGCGAGTTACTAGTGAAGACAAGAGAACTCGAGAAAGCGAACGAAAGTCGGTCGAAGGTCGCAAAGTACACACGGTCTTTGTTGCAGGAATTGGAGTCGAAACTGAGTAACTGTGAGAGAAAGCTTGCAGAGACCGAAAATCAACTTGTAAACAGAAACTTAGAACTTGAATACGAAAAAGAAAGACGGCTTAAAGTCGAGGAAGAGAACAACAAATTGTTTTCAGAGCTTGAGTTGCTATCGGATGAAAGGAAAAAGGATGGGCTTTCTAAGGAAGTCGTCGAACTTTTAAAAAGAGCGAAGGAACGAGTCGCCTCTGAAAACGTTGTACCGTTTAGAGAAACACCTATGGAAACTGGACTAACGTCGGCGATTCCGAAAACCAAAGGTGACGAGAAAAGAACTAGTAATGGTGTCTCGTTTGTCGAGGAGATTGATAAATTAAAATCAGTTCTTGCTTCAGCGGAGAGTTCTTCAGATCAGAGTGATAGAGAGACGAGTGTTAGGTCGGCTAACAAAGAAACTGATCGTCTTAAGGATCATTTGAAAGTACAACAAAGGGAGAATGAAAGTTTACGAGTCGAAAGTAGCAAAATTAAGGAAGATTTGAAAAAGCGGGACGCTGAACTGGATTCTTTGCGAAAGGAGCTGAGAAAGTTAGAGGATAGAAACGCGGATGTAGTCGAGAAAAACAGAGAATTAGAGGAAAGGCTTCAAACTGTGGAAAGTGAACTCACAGAAAGTATGGAACGGGAGATATTCCTTCAAACTGAGAATGAAACCGACGAAGGTGAAAGATGGGATGTGAAAGAACGTATTGTGGGTTTGGAGGAGGAGGTGTCAATTTACAAGGACAAAATTGATGAACTGGAGACAAAATTAGCAGAGAAGGAATCCAAAAATGTAAATGCAGAGACGGACAGAAATCATGTGCGCGAATTAGAGCGTCTTTTAAAAATTAAAGAAGGTGAATTGAAAGAAGTAGAGAGGCGTAGTTCTCGAAGAGAACGAGAGGTGAAGAAGGAGGAGGAGGCGAAACAAGATGAAATGGAGATTAAATTAAACCGAGAAAAACTCAGACTTCAAGAACTTGAAGAGCAGTTAGAAGAGGTTCAAAACGCTTTGGAATCTGAACGAAATGAGTCGAAGGTAAAGGAGAATGAACTTGAAGAACTTAAGAAGGCAACAAATCTGATGGTGTACAGAGAGGACGCAGAAAGGCAAATAGATGAGCTCGAATCGGAGTTGAAAGAAAAAGAAGATAAACTCTCTGAAATAGAATCTTCTCTGTCCATCGCTTGCGAGAGAATCGCCGAGTGCGAAGAAAAATTGAGAAATTACGAATTAAAGGATAGAGAGTTTGGTTCAAAGAAATCGGCTGATCTGGAAAAGAAAATTCGAGAACTACAAGAGGAACTGGAGAACAGTAGGGAAAAGTTGGCCGTTGCCGAAGAAAAACTGGAGGATTTCGAAGTTGAAGAAAAACTTCTTGCTGCTGAGCTCCAGAAAAGTAAAAAAGAAGACGATGACCAAGTTGACAAGGTGAGGGAGAAATTGACAGAGGCAGAGGAAAAAATAAAGAGGTACGAAGATTTTGCTAAAGACAAAAATTCTAAACTTATTGCGAGCGAGGAGAAAGTCATCGAACTTGCTGAAGAGTTAGCGAGAAGGCTCGCCGTAGAACAAGAAACAGCTGAGTGGATTGAAGGTGTTGAAAACAATCTTACCCAAACAGAGATAGAGCTTAATATAACGCGAGAAAGTTTGGTAAACAAGGCCAAAGATTTAGACAAGGAAAAATACAGTATTTTAGACGTTATGGAACTGTCTATGAGGTACATTAAAGAGTTGGAGCTGGCTGTAGGCGAGGAAAGAGAGAATGCTAAAGAGCTCGAGCGACAATTGGATGACGAAAGGGCGCGTGTAACTCAAATGGTTGAAGAGATCAAAAGCGTTGAGGGTGAAGGAAATAAAAACCAAGAAGTTTTGAATGATAGCGTTAGCGTGGAAGAAAGGTTATCTTCTTGCGAGATAAGACGAGAACTAGAATCCACTCGAGTGAAGCAACTCCAGACAGAACTTGAAGACTCAAAGAGAAAATTCGCCGAAGAGCTGAGTTCGGAAAGAGACTCGCACGTAAATGAGATGAGGAAGTTGAATGAGGAGGCTCTGCAAGTCTCCGGAGCAGCAAATTCAGAAGCCGACGAGTTGAAATTGCGGCTGACTTCCCGTGTGATAACTCTTCAATCGGACATCAGCGAGTTGAAGGCTGCGCATCATCAGGAGTTGGAAAAACTACGGGCTCAACACAAGAAGGAACTAGCGAATGCGAGACGGGAAGCCATCTTGGAGACCAGTGCTCGAGAAGTGATTCAAGAAACTGACGAAGACATGGCGGCCAGAGTTAAGGAAGTGGAAGACGAGATGAAAGAAATGACAGAAAGGTAGACAAATTCTCATTAGTTGTTTTTGTTTTGTTGATAACACAAGCTCACTTTACGCTTTATGTGTGATTGGACTCTGAGGGACCTGCTTTAGGAGATATATAACCATTAAGGTTACCAATACTTCCACGGCTACCCTTTTAGATGATTAGAGGACGATTACTGATACACTGATTCGCCATTCCTACCCACGTTTCGAAAGCTCGCTTCCATCGTTGATCATCAGCAAAAATCGGTCGGTCTTCGCAGTGCTCTGTTAAGTCAGCTATAGATAGGAGAAATCATTGGTATTTTCCTTTCTTATTTTGCTCTGCCTTCAATTCAAAGCTTGGGGAAGAGAAAATAAGACGAGAAAGAGGTATTTCTTTTCACCTAGAGCTGTGGTGCTGATAGCTGTGCTCATCCCCAAACCCCCTCAAAAGAGACTTGCCCTCTCCCCACCCTTCTTTTTTCTAGTCCTTTCAGAGGCAAGTGCTTAGCACGTGTAGTGAATGTAATTAATTTGTTAGATATGAAAGTCAAATGGAGACACTTAAAAAAAGTCATTCTCGGGAGATGGACAAGCTCAAGCGGAGTAGCGGAGACGGTGTGGATGGGCTACAGACAGAAGTGGTTCAACTTCAGGTTGAGATGGAGAACATGAGCCAGAAATACATGGAGGAGATTGAGAATCTCAAGGTTTGTTTTACTAACATTTTTCCTCGGCCCCTTCAATTCTACTGTCCCCTTCCGCCTCGCCCCAAACCTTCGAGGGTGGAGGCCATGTAACGTGATGGTTCACTCATCTGCAGTTAACCTTGATATGGTAGTTATGGCTTAAAACTGTGGCCTAGCATAAATCAAACTCAACTCAGCATGTTTACGTTAAAAAAAAAAATATCCCAATCTCTTGTTAGTATTTTATTTTCAACGTTTTGGAGCAGAGTATTCATAATTATATGGGGCAGGTTTTCTGTTTTGCACGTGAGGCAATTATTCTGCAACCCTACCCTCTACAGCTTCAAGTTATTATTAATACCATAAAAATTGTGCTATATCAGAAGCCACATGTAGGCTTCGACTGTCTATTTTTTTTTCGAAGTCATACCATTTTTAGCACTTTACTGTGATTGTTATTCACACGATCCCTTTTTTCTTTAGGTTCAACACGGGGAAGAACTGGAACAACTCAAACGCGACATGGCTGTTGTTCTGCAGGCGTCGCTAGGAGCAGCACCTTCCCCAGCTAAGGATGACTCTAATGTCCAGCAGCTGAAGAACAGAATCAATGAACTGGAACAAGAAACAGAAGAACTCAGCCGAAAATACAACGAGGAACTCAAAGCTGAAAGGGTAAATCAGTTTGTTAAAAGACGTACGGGGTAAAGTTAGCGGCTAGCTTTCTTCAAATTCCCGGTTCACGTAACCTTACTTTGTTCATCTCTTCGTTAATAGGAAAAACAACAACGAGACATCGAGCAAACGCGAAATGACATGATGACCGTGATCCAGGCAATTAGATCGGAAAAATACGCCGATCATGGCAGAGCAGCGTCTCCGCGCCTTCTTGAAGACCTGCCCGAAGAACTAGCCAAGATGCAGCAAGAATACGAGGAGAAGATCGCTAAGCTGCAAGAAGAACACGAAGAAGCCTTGACGGAGGCGAAGGGATTGAAGACAGTTCCAGCTGCTTCTATCAACGGAGAACCAGAGGTAATGTGAAATGACTCTTTCCCTTTGATCCCTAAGAGCGACTGGCATATAATTTCTCCTTACAATATCACCCCTAAATCAAACATTAAGTTCAGGAGAATAAAGGAAATGATCACCAACTAAAGAAGTTCTTGATTGTAAAACAATTTCTCCTTGTTCTAGCACCTTAGGAAATACATGGAGAATAGTATGGAGTATTCTCCATACTTTTCTCCATGTATTTCTTAAGGTGCTAAAACAAGGAGAAATTTCGTGAATTTATGAAATGATCTATTGGGACATTAGCGGTTAGTTTACCGTCAACGGCTTCAATTTTGATCAAAGCACTGATGCAAATGATGCAATGATGCAAACTGATGTTTAGGTGTAAAAGGGTTAAAAGCGCTCAGCTTGTTGTTTTCTTTGGACAATGTTATTACTTCGTCAGAAAGAAAAATTTCGCGAATTTATGAAATGATCTCTTGGGACATTAGCGGACAGTTTACCGTCAACGGCTTCAATTTTGAACAAAGCACTGAAAAAAACAGGGCAGCTATCAACTCAAACTTTTTTCGGGGAAAGAAAAATCTTAGTTTATTCTAATGGTTTGTACTTTGTGTGCAGAATGACTCCCAGCTTAAAAAGAGAGTCAAGCAATTGGAGGCCGAGTTGTTGTCGTGCCAGGAGGAGTTCCACAAACAACTGCAGCAAAAGGACACTAAACACCACGAGGAAGTGAACTTGCTGAAGGCCGACATGTTGGTAGCTCTTCAAGTGGCTCGGAGTGGTAATTTACCCCCAGTTGGAGCAAATCAACCAGATTCTCAGACTATAAACAACACCAACGCCCATGGAGGAACGCAGCTCTCCTTAGAGGTCTGGTACCCTTGTTTCGTTTTTTGATTGTGACCTTGTGGCTTTGATTTGAGAACTTGTTGTCCACAACATCTTAAAAGTTATGGAAAACAGCTTTTTCGCCCAGGGTGTAGGTTAAGGTTTTGAACCTCACAAGAACGCGACTTATTTTCTTACATGGTCATTTTCGAGACTAGCACGTCATTGTTTATGGATCCGAATGTTCGGTGGTTTCGGTTTTTCACTCTCGTCGAGGAATAGAGAAAAATGTTTCCGTCCTGATGGGTCGTACGTTCGCGAAATTTTCTCTATATACTCTGCTCTCTACTTCCTCGATCAACTCTTCCCTCTTCGCACGATTTCTTTTGCATTTCGCAGCGTTCGCACAACCATCTCTCGCCGTCCCTTTGTTGCATTAGTTTACTTCCCAGCCGTTCTTCCGTCACGCGTTTTCTCAATGATAGAGAAGGATGGGACAAGGTGTGTTGCGTGACAAAACCAATTAAGGAGTGTAACCGGGACTATTTGTCACACTTGTTTGAAAGAAATAAGAAGTTACGAAGCCTTATTTTATGTGCATCTTTTGAGTAATTTTAACGATTTTCTTTACAGGAAGCTGGCGCGAAAATCGCCAGTTTGGAAAAGGCGATCGAAACCACCAACAAACAAGCTAAGAAGGAAAAATCTGATTTAGAAAAAAGCTTGAAAAAATCCGAAGCCGCCACCATGTTTGGACTGAGACGAACCGAAGAGATGAGCATAAAGATTTACCAAATGCAAAAAGAAATGGAAGTTATTGACCGTAAATACCAAAAGGAAATACAAATGTACAAAGATGCCTTTGAACGAGAAAAGGAAGAGAAATGCCAGCTGGGGGACTGGGAAACCCTGTCCTCTGAGAACGACAGCCTGCGGCTGGAAATCGAAGAACTTGATTTGAAAATCGAGGAAATGGAAAATACGCACCTGGCGGAGATCAATATGTATAAACAAAAGCTCGGCGAGGAGGAAATGCAAAGTATCGAGAGTTTAAGATTGAAAATTAAGAGCTTAGAGGATGTTATTGAGGAACAAAAACTAGAGCATGAGAAAGAGTTAGAGGATTTGAAACTGGAAAGAGACGCATCTGTTCAGGAATTAAAACGACGACACGAGAAGGAATTTGAGAACGCCAAAAGTGAACAGCGAGTGGTCACCGTAGGGAGCAGCCATGCGCGTGCCAACTCATTTGATTTGCAACAAAAAGATCAAAGAATTAAAGAGTTAGAGCTTAAAGTGGAGGAGCAGGAAACTCTTCTTGAGGTAAAAAGGCGAAGACACAAAGAAGAGATAAAAAGTCTTCGTCAGAGATTGGACGAAGAAATCCAAAAGCACAGCGAAGATGTTCGATCCCACCGGACCAAGGTTCGGATGCTGGAACGACGCAAATCCGAACACTCGATCTCTTTCGGATTAGTAGACGACGATTATAAACGGATGTACGATGAACAACGTTCGGAGCATATTAAGCTTAAGTTTACTGTTGAGAAACAGAAGAAGGAGTTGGAGGAGTTGCGCACTGCTTTGGCTGCCAAAGAAGAGAAAGCAGCAGAGGTTACAGAGAGAAGAAAAGCCTATGGTAAGGGATTTTTTAGTTCAGAATAGTGTTGCATCTCGAAAACGAAAATATTTCCTTTTCCTTATGCATCACCTTTTTCTTAGTATTTTTTTAACTTTGCACGAAATACATCACTGTTTGAAGACTGTTTTTGTTTGATGGTAGTGTCAGTTGAAGCTGTTGTACACACACAGACACACGCACACACACACGCACGCACACACACACGTACGCACGCACACACACACACACACACAGAGTGTGTTATCTGATTTCTCTCCCCTTGTTCGTCATTTAATGTCTCGGCGTTTGATGGTCTAGATTTAACCAACCAATTCGCTAGACAGGGACAATTCATGAATGAGCGTGGATTTTTGGGCCTTTTCTCTTACAGGAGAATCACGGCGCCCTGTTTCAGATTCCTTCCCATCAGGTTTTTCGTACAGCCGCACCACTCCAGCTCAGGACTCCTGCTCCCCGCCTACCAAAGTGCCTCTGAGAAAAGTGTCCTCGGAAAACAAGTCGGACTCAGATCCTGTGTGGAAGAAAGCGTCAGGGGGACCACTTGCAAGGCAGGCGTCCGAGGGAGGGGTAGGAAAGCATGATGTTGGCAAGGGGAAATTATTTACAAGGCAACTCTCTAAAGGGGTGAGCGTGAAAAGTCTACTTCTCATGGAATTTCTTTGAGGACGTTTGAGTGGGCGTTGTTTACGGTTGTTCTATGTACTTCAGTCCATTCGTTTCTGTTATCACCAAAACTTGGAAAAGTGGTGACCTCGTTGTTTTGTCGCTTTCATTGAGTTTTAAACATTCTTGCTCTCTATTACTTGAGCAACTATTTATCTGATTCTGTTTCGGGAACATTTACAGCTGATTGTATCAAAGCTTACGGTAACTAAAAACTGTTATGTTTGTGTTTTGCTCATAATGACGGCTTTCTTGAGCCGTTAAAGTGCTGTAAAGTTGGAACTGAGTGAGAAACTTCCACCGCGGAGGTGACCCTGACTCAAACAGTGCGGCTTGGTAAACGAATGTCAGCCCGTAGCGCCAATTCGTTCCTCCTTAATGCCATGCAAGCTGAGTAACCGCACTTATACTAATCCTTTTGTCTGGTTTTTTTTTTTTTTTTAGGTTGAAGCACCAAATATGGGCTCAGTAGCAGCGCGAGTGGCCTTGTATCAAACCGTAGGTAGGTATCTGGCTCTTTTGTCTGCGAAATTGGAAGTGATGACCGAGTGGGGGAGAGAATGAAAGAGAACTTGATTAACTATTTAAAAACACTTTCAAGTGAGATTTTAAGGTAATTAAATCCGAAAGAGATCCTATTTTCCCGCGCTTGCTGTTTTCACTTTGATCAGACTGTCTGATTCATTTCCAAGCATTTACGTGTTACCTTTAGCGCAGACTAGCATGAAAGCGTCCTGTCTCAGCTTGAGAACAGCAACAACGACAAAACAGTGGCAGTAGCAAATATCTTAAGTTATGATACGTAGTAAAGTTAATAAACCAGTAAATAGTGGGAAACAGGAAATAACTAGTGTTCTTTTCCTTTTTTTCTGTAGCTTCCAAGTTTAAAGATAAAGATGAGAAGACTGGACAGAGAAAGCCGTGATGGAAATCAATTCTCGTCGAGGTAATTTTGAATGAAAGAGCTTTGGGGTCGGTTCATGTTTTAGTCTCAGTGTCTGTCTGTTCCTTCGTCTATATTTTAAACATATTTACTTCTCGCCCTGGGCAACCTGTTGGGCAGCTAACCTTGTTTTGCCTTTTTTAGCCATGAATTGATTTCGATGCTTTTTGTTGTATTTCATTTGAAAACATATTTGTTAAGTATTTCTCTTTCATTTCATTTTCAGTGACAATTCCTCATCCTCAAGCACTTTTTTGCTCAACAAAAACAAATATTATAAATTTGAAATACAGTGTAATTATGTACAGGAAGAAGACTACAAATGTATGTAAAACTAAGGACTCTCCCTTAAACGATGAGATACTTAATAATTTGTATACGAGTTTCTTGTAACGGAAAGTCGGAATTTTTGAAAACAGTACAAAATGTCACTTAGGAGTGAGCTATTTCAGTCTACAGTTAGTCAGTCGAAAGGTATTTTGGTAATGATAATATAATAGCTATTTTTATAAGGTTCCGTGTATTGAGAGATTCTTGCGGGAACCGTTTCAATTTAAGTATTTCGTTTAGGTTCACCGGCGCTTGAGTTTAGTGAATAAACTTATTTACTCGTATTCTGTGGTCACCCGCTTACACCAGACTGCGTTTTTCAAACAACTGCATACTTTTTGTTACCGACGTTCAAATGGAGGGGAAGGGGTTGGTTTGACAGTATTTTTAACTTTTTACTCCTTTTTATTTCATTGGCTCTCATACGACGAGGTGTTCTTTTAGCGACTGAATGATTAAAAACCTTCGCTCGAGGCGGAGACGGTACTGTAACCTGTTGCAGCGTCGCTGTCGTTCAAAGTCACATCATTTCCGTTTACCCCCGTTTAGGCGAAATATCTGACGCAGAACAAATCTTACATCCAAGTAATCTTCATGTCTCAGTAAAGCCCCGTCTACACGAGCAATTTTTATATGGCAATTTTTATTTTCCCGTGTAGATGATGAAAAATGACCAATTTTTATGTGACAACTGCATTTGCTGAAAAGCTGGCGTGTTAGTTTTTATGTGGTATTTAAAAATTGTCCGTGTAGATGAGACGCCACATAAAATGTGACAAACGCGCCAAAAGCTGCAACACGTCTGGCACGTCTTGACTTTCGCCATCTTGCTTTTATCCTTTCCATGAGCATCTCCGCTGTGCAAAATTATTACTGACGCAAATTAACAAATATTTGTCGAGCCATCAACACGGGCAAATAAACTGAATTGCCACATACAGTTGCCTCATAAAAATTGCTCGTGTAGACGGGGCTTTACTCGCAAATTTTGTTGAATACGTTAACTAGTTTCCATAAATCATGACAAAGAGATGCTGAAAAAAAAAGTCGCAAATTCTCTGGGAAATTCTGATCTTACTGCGGAATGCGCATGTGCAAATTATTTTAAAGCTTGACCCACCATAAAGATCGTATACCAGATTCATGGTAATCGATAAATTGTATAAATTTCTGTTAGAGTCACGTTTTTCGGGAATTGTTGTTCTTTGGTTTCGGCACCCTCCATCCGTGAGATTGCAAGTAGTCTCTAACAGCTCGTGAATTGATTGTTACTGGTGGAAAGTATGGCCCAATTCTCCTGCGTTTCCACCAGAATCCAGAACGTGCTTCTTCGCTGTCAATTCTTGTGAATTTATATAGGTAGTGTTCACCACGAATAACACTAACAAGATGAGAAAAAATAAAAATAAATGGAGTTTTGTGTTCTACAAACCAAAAAAGTGCAACCTGTGATGGTTGACGTGGGAGAACGCTGGGCCATCGTGCGACAGACACGGTTTTACCAACAATATATAGAGTAGTCTGGGTCAAGGCTCGTCCCCAACCCCTCACGTAATTATTCGAAGGCAGCTTGTCCCCAATCCCTCACATAATTATTATTCGAAGGTAGCAAAAAACTGAAGACAAATTATGTAATCGCAAAAATTTCACACTGTGTTGTGAAGGATGAAAACTTGAGAGACCGGGATTGAGTCTAACGTCTGAACAGAGTCGTGTAAGGCTCACGAATCGAGTAGGTGACGAAAGGATGCGATTGGGAAGATGACAAACGCCAATGTGAGCTTGTTGGGCCATGGACTGCTGAACAAGTCGTACGCGTTTTAAAAATGCGCTAGTATAGGTCGGGACGAAAACAATGCAGAAAACAATAAGGCGAGGTAAAGGGTGAGGAAAAGGACATTAGAGAGATTTAGCACCGCGTTTAGGTGAAACGTGAACGGCAAGAGTGACCACGTTACCACGTTTTCCCCGCTCTTTTTCACGTTTGCCGGTTGCGCTTTGCCGTTTCAACGTGAAAGTAACCTGTTTCGCGTTTGCCGTGTACTTAAGATTTTCTTCACTTTTTCTCTCCCAAAGTAGAAGTTAATTTCCAGAAAAAGTGCATCAAAACTATTCCGTTAGGTCATACCGAGGCGCCTTCAAATCTTTCATGACGAGAGCTCACGGGAAGCGAAAGCAGTACGGTTCGTGCTATTTTACGTGACACGCGAAAGGACAAGCTGACGTTTGCCGTTTCACGTAAACGCGGTGCTAAATCTCTCTAATGACGATCATAATACAACAGCTAAACAACAACAGTGATAGCATCTCTATGGGATACTTACTGTGGAGGTGTACCGTTAAAAAATGGGTTGTGTGCTATTAGTGAAGTGGCCTGTTCATCGTTAACAAGAAGTTTGGCCGCCAGGTGTATTAGCCAGGGGTTGTACTGAAAGTTCTGAAAAACATAAAGAACTCAAAGTGAAAACAACCACGGGAAAATTCAACCGACCAATCAGAATAAAACGAAAATACCAGCCAATAACAATTGGTTGAGAGAGAGGTGAGAGTTTTCTGGACCAATCACAGAACGAAGTAAATCTAAAACAAAGCAAATAAGGGAGTAAAGTCTGCATTGGAGCTAAGTGACCCATCCTGTCGGAGCTCGTTCCAGTTTCTCTAGCTTGACGCCCCTGGGAGTTTTACTACCCCTCCCTCCCCCCCTCCCCCCCTCCTTGGATGGAATGCCAGATTGTCGCGGGTTAACCCCAGTATTTTACATAGGCTCGATTTCCGCCGCTCTCTCGAGTCCGGTCTTTTTCGTTCCTCCCCGCGGGCTCCGGTTCCCGAACAGCGGTTGGTAATCGAGTCTACATTTTACCAAGCTTTCCATGCAGTTGGCCGGTTCCCGTTTGAAGTAGAAAAAAAACTTCCTCTTAATATATAGCCTTTTTTTTTTTTCCGCTATTGGAAACGTTAGCGTCTTCTATGTAGCTCGCTTCGAACTTTTATAAGTTCTTACAAGGCGGGCCATTACTAGCACAAACCTGAAAAGCTGCAAACCACATAAGCCAGTCCAGTCTGTAGTGATATGGCGAAATCAGACAAGGCCGCCTGCGGGGGTCACCTGGTTTGCATTTGAACTGATATTCTTCCCAGATACCACCTTCATCATCCGGTGTTATTGTCAGGTTTCTTGTACCTTGAAAGATCACTTCAGTTCTTTCTTTGGTTACACTAGTGAAAGGAAACACGATTTAATATATTGAAGATCGAACACTCTCGCTGGAACCAAATTTTTGGGTTTATGAAGAAACCCATTTTCTGTTAAGTTTGTCTGTTTGGCTTCTTTTCTTCTTCCAGTCAATCAGATGTCAGGAAAATTCGATTCAGTTTACAAACGCTGTAAAAAAAAAATTAGCGCTAAAAAAAAATCTTAAGAGTGGGAAGTGGAATACACTCAGAGCCCGTGTGGATGGTTGAGCGAATCAGGGCATTAACAAAGCATTGACACAAACCTTTGTGTTGATTACACTGGACTAGTACTGTCTCTTTGAAATCAATTATTTTTACTTTTAATTGCCGAATTGAGAAAAAAAGTTGGAGATTGACGTAAGATACATGAATATAAGACAAAAATCGAAGACCATGATATCTGAAGGCCCGCTAATTCCTCGTTCGAGACTAAACGATTTAAATGGAATCACTTCCTAGTTTACAAAGATTTTAATTTCGTATTACTGAAATTACCTTCCAAAGGCGCCATAAGTGTTCACAATCCTGAAAGAGTCAAACGATGTATTCATGGCTTGACGAGAGGAAAGAAGATTCTGCACCACAGGGATACTAAGATACGCTATCACGATTCCAAGCATAAGCTCGAACACACGACGAACACACAGACCTAAAAATATAAACAAGCAGCGACGAAACAAATAAACATACAAACGATAAGTACCTCGTAGAAATTATTTTTCTGCAATTTTTTCAAACTTTTCACCGTTCTATTCACAACGTATGTTGGTCCAGAAAACTCGCACTTCTTTCTCAACCAATTAGATGCAAAACTAAAAACAATCATGACTTCAGGTCGCTCTCATTTTCCCGCGCTTTAGGCAGTTTGGTAGTTTTCACCTTGAGTTCTCATTGGTTGGTATTTTTCCTTTTCTTCTGATTGGCCGTTGAGAATACTTTGACTGCGTTAGCAACTATTTCTTGTAAAACACACTGATTATTTCAAGACAGTTTACACTAGTACCATACCCCAAGTAGGTTTTGGCGTCAGTTTTGACGCAATACTTTGACTGCGTTAACAACTATTTCTTGTAAAACACACTGATTATTTCAAGACAGTTTACACTAGTACCATACCCCAAGTAGGTTTTGACGCAGTTGAACCAGTCATTTGAAGCTTCCGTATTTTAATCACTTGTCTCTTGGCTGACGATGACGAGAACAAGAAAGCCAGGCTTTTGTCATCAAAGCACATCAGACTGGGAAGAATGGTCAGCCAGTTTAGGAAACTCAGGTTGCCGCTGATGATCAAAGTAACCTAGCTTTACAAAAGTAAACAATATAACTAGCTCAATCCCTGGACAAAAATATAACCATGACCATAATAAAACTCAATGGCCTGGGGTGGATCCTGTAATTTTTGATAGCATGAGTCCAAACTTTGATTCAGAAAACAGAGGGTTTTTTGTTTTTTGTTTTTTTTTCAACACTATTGTCCAAATAAGCTAAAAAATTTTTTTTCAAAGTGAGTAAGTTTTAAATACTTCAAGTTAACAAATAATAAAAAAGAATTTTGGCTTCAGACAAGTATAGAAGGGGAGGGAGGGGGGAGGGGGCCTGGGATCTTAACCCCTAAATATGGATCCACCACTGAGAATAATACGCATGAACCACTGACCTCCGCGATACTAGTGTAGCGCTCTACCAATTGAGCTAACAAGGAAACTGGGAGCAGGCCGTAACTGAGAATAATATTTGTTTAAATTTTTCCTCACATGATAACCAAGCTTCGAAATCTGGCACGCTTTTGAGAGTTATGATCCTAGCAGTATCTAACTGGATAGTCACACATGAGCCTGAAGTTTGGTCTCACATTGACACCTGAACCGCCCGTAACCGCCCGAACCTCGCGATCGCCTCGCGCGAGAACGCTT